ACAAATTTAATTAATTTAATTTTAAAAAATAAAAACATAATTTCGTAATTTTTTATTATTTGAATAATACTTGAGGGGCCAAGCCTCCTCAAGCTGACTAGAGACCGCGTCTATCCGTTCGTCTTGTTCATCCATTTTATGACTAAATTATTAATTGGGCCCTACATTTAGTAGTTCTTTAATTTTTTTTTTTTCATTTTAGTCCCATTAGTTCTTTTTGTGACTCAATCTCCTAGCTTTTCCATCACAATTTATCATTTTATTTATCTCCATACCAAACATTTATCATCTCTTTTCCCTGTCTATATAAGTATTTTATTTTTTTAATTCTTTATTTAATTATTATTCCATCTCTATTATTTTTTTTAAGATATTTCTTACATCTAAATAAATCGTTATATATCTCTTTTCTTACCTTAATTTTTTATCTCTTCTTTTCTTTTTATTAGAAATATTTTATATTAAAATATAAAAGTTGAAACTTCCTGGCATTATTATCTCAATATATTTTCACCCAACTTTACTCTAAATTTCATTACTCTTCCTAAAACCTCGATCTCTTAGCTTACTACTCAAATTTTATCATTATATCCTCTTAATAATTTTGGTTGAGACTATATCTTTCAGCTTTTGCCTTAACATTTTATACCATTATAATTAAATTGAAAGCTAATTTTGGTCCCTCAATTTTTGGACTTTACACAATTTTCATTTTTTAACTTTTTTACACTTTTTTAGTCCCTTAATTATAAAAAATGCGCATTCTTAGTCTTTCCATAAATTAGTCCATTAAGGAAATGCACATATGCACATTTTTAGTTATTCAGCTTATAATATATACACATGTTTGTCCCTCAACTCAAAAGTTCAAAGATTAAAAATATACATATATGGACAAATTTAACAGATTAACTAATAGAAGAATTAAACAAGTGTATATATGAACAGACCTAATGGATTAAGTGATGAAAGGATTAAAAAGTATATTTTTCATAATTGAGAGACTAAAAAAATACATATTTCGATAGATTTATAATCTAAAATTTAAAAATAAAAATCAACTGAGATAAATTATGTCGTTTCAATAAAATACTAAAAAAAACTAAACTTTAAAAATAGGTTATTATAGTATTTCTTAATGAAGTTTATAATAATTCAATTAATTTAAAAATTGACATATATAATCTATATAAATAAAATATTAAGTCTAATAGTCAATTTTTTAAAATATTTATTGAAGAATAGTATTTTTACAATTGAAATTTGAATTTTATATGAAAATCAAAATTGATATATACTATTCTTTAAATATAATTTTATTAACTAAAGGAAATTTCAAAATATTTTCTGTAAATTACCGAAGTACTTACCCCGAACTATTACTCGAGCTGACCAGGAAGTTAAGTAGAATGCTCAACTTGGGAAGTGCTTTGTCTTCTTCCCCCTTTTTTTTAAGCTTAATCAACTAGAGCTGGAATGGAAAAGATTTAAGATAAGGTTAGTATATGATGGTATGTTCTTAACTTAAATAAAGGAAAATAATATATATGTAGGGATATGTGTGTAACGTTATTGCTATAGGGTAATCTACTAACTCTAAAAATTAAATTATATGTTTGGTTTGAGCGGGGGAAGGAAGCAGCTTCATAATGGTTTGCAAAAAATTTGAAAGTGAGGAAAGAAAGAGAGGGAAATGGAAGGATGTCTTATCCTTCCATTCCACTGTATATGGTTGACAAAAAATTTGAAAGGGAGGGGAGGAGAGGGATCATTTCCACCCCCCATTTCCCTTAAACCAAAGATTTTAAAAGAGTTTATATTTTACCCCTAGGTTGTGTTTGGTTTAAGGATATTTCCCCAACCTTCTTATAAAGTTGGGAGTAATTTAATCTTCGTAATTTTTAATATTATAATAATCAAGTTAGGTTTAAAAGTGTTACATTAATTTTTAGTCACTCATTTTAAAATTTCAAGAACAGTTAATGCAATACTTGAATTTCAGAATAACCTTTTAAATTTTAAAATGTATAACTAAAAATTAGAAATAAAAAAATTTCTTTTCTTTGGCTGGTATAAGAAGTTCTCAAATACATACCAGTGTAAGTTAATTCTTGTTCATAATAAAAATTTAAATAATAAAATTGGCATTCTGACCCAAAATTTTGCTCTTCCAACTACTTATCAAATATGAGACATTTCTAACAAAATTTTATTACAGAAGATATAAATTTTTTATACAACATTTTTCAAATTTCCATATAAATAAAATACTCGTCCAACAACTTTCATACAGTACTTTTCCCCTTATACTTATAATCCAAACAGGCCTCTAATTGTAACATGTATAAGAGCACTTCAAAACAAAAAAATTATATAGTCTTACAAAACTTAAAACTCTTATCTCTCCATTCAATATTTTCTTACCCTTTCTATATCGAATGAAAAACCTCTATGATGGAGAACAAGAAAGAATCAGTTTTAGGATTACTTAACAATTTTATTAAGTTTGTTTAAGAATCATTCTTGGAGTCTTTTATTATTAACAAGTATTTCCTCTTCTTTTTTTTTTCCATCTTCCACGCCTTATTTGAATTAGGAATTTCTATATCCTAGTTGAATTAGGAATTTCTGGTTTCAATCTAAAACATGAGATGAGAAATCTGTACCTGGTTCTAATGGATTGATACTTAAAGGATTTTTGATACATGAGACAGAAATACAGAGAAAACCACGGAGCCTAGAAAATAACGGCAATGTTCTTGCCAAATGAAACTTGCCTACCATACCACCTGCAACAAAAAAATAAAAAAAGAATTAGCACTTAATTAGAAAGATGATTTAAAATATATATT